GGTTAACCTAGTGGTGACTTGACAACATAGGTATGTGCATGGGGAGGAGTCCGGGGGCAGAGACAGCACCCAAGGAAGATGAAAGTTCATCATCAGGGTAACATCCCACCCCTTGGCCCCGCCTCTCTGCTTCCCCTGCAGTACCACTCCTGGCTGAATGATTGAGGGGTTTGGTGGAAAACCAGATAGAAGAGTTTGTAATGATTGAGACATCTTATCCTCAGCACTGCACTGCATTTTTATCCGGAAGGTAGGAGTAAGGCTTTCTTGCTCCCTTCAACCCCAGACCAGCCCTCGGTGATGATTTCCCAGGAGCAGGTGGTGGCATGAGGAAGAGACACAAACTCCCTCTTCTCTCTCTCTCCAGTCACTCTGCTCTGTTCCCTTCCTATCACTTACTCCTCTCTCTGGAAATCATTTGGTTTGCTTTTATGTTAATTATCTGCCTCCTCTCAGAGCAGACAGTAAAACCCATGAGGGCAGGACTTGTCCGTCTGTCTCCTCATCTTACTGCCAACATGGAGAAATTCAACAAGACTTTGTTGAACAATCAGATGGATAAATGATCAGCTAGTTATGGTGATCCAGGAAGAGTTGTTTCTCTTCTAATTGTATACATGAGTAGTGTCTTCTTAAAGAACTCACTCGGCGAAACAAAATGGCCCTGGAATCTCGATAGAACTCAGGAATCTCATTATCTTTTCCCATCCTGACTTGCGGGATGACTCTGTGGAAGAGAGGGGCAAAGACAGCCCAGCGGAGTATCGACACTCACTTTTGCTGAGACCTCCCTGATGAAAGAGGGTGACAGTGTCATATATAGACAAAGAAACAGTGTGTACTGATGCCATTTTGAAATGAATGCCATGGGAAGATCCAGCCTGGCCTTGAAAGAGCTGCTGGTCCCTGCCCTGAACATCAGCCCTGGTTCCTCATCTTATCTTCCAAGAAACTGGGATCCAGATACTGGATCATCTGGGAGAAGCAAAAGAGATGGAATATCTCCAAGGGCAATAGAGTCAAATAGAGACTGTACAAGGTGAAGGGGTCAATTCTCTGATGTGTACATTTCATAATACGACAGATGGGAGTGGACATCCACGCACAAAATTCCTGAAGACCAAAACCTGTAAGGAAGGTTCTGCCTGATGTTGAAATGTGACTGAGAAAGAGTAATATATTTGTGAGAAGAAAGAGTGAAGACTGCAAGATAACTGTAGTAATTACTGAATTCCTGGAAGTCCAATTCAGAGAGCTGGTGGGATTTGCACATGAGTCCAGGTTTCTAAATTTAAAATGCTCCACGAAGGACTGAGATGAATATCTAGGAGTTGAATGCAGCATGAGAAGTCCACCCAAATTCAAGATGGGGAAGGACCAGCAACACGTGGGAGAAAACATAGCCTCCTAAGTGGCCCCTCCTTTCCGTGCAAGAAGGACACTAACTGGACACTGACAACCCTCTGACATGCCCCAGGGGTCCCTCTACTTCCACACTATGCGTGAGCAGGCTGGAACTGAGAAGGAAGACTCGGTGGGCACACGGCCTGGCTTTGCCTTGGACACTGCTGGAATCTGAGCCTGGTGGGAAATGATCAGTAAGCCTTCCTGGCCATGCCTGGAGCATCCCCCCCTTAGCACTCAGAACTTGTAAAGAAAAGTCATTACATCTGTTACTTCAACCAGATAAAAATGATATCAAGTACGTGAAGATTAGAGGTGATTACGCCTAGAAATAGATTTGACTATACAGCAGAGAGTTCCCAAAAGCCAAGCCCAGTTGTTCTGGAAGCTTTAAGAGTCTAATGGTAGGCAATAGACAGTGGTCTATGTGCTGCCCGGGGGCCCAGGACTGTGGGATTTCAGGGAGTCACTGAAGGAATGAGATGGAGGTTAGACAGTAATTTGGGGACCTTACCAAACCACATCGCCCTTCCTTTGAGTACCTTTCTTTAGGAAAAAAACGCTAAAGCAAATGTAAGGACTGAGCCCTGGGGCCAAGAAGCTGTAGCCTTTGTGATGGATGGACCCCCGCGGGGTTGCTAATGGACCCTGACGTACAGACAGCCACGCAGAGAGAACACTGACCAGCCCAGAACATTACTCGCGGCTGCGCAAGGATGGGCAGGCCAAACTCGTCAGACACTGACACATAAAATGTTTGGACGTGTGTACACAGGGCCTGATTCAGTAAAAACCTGTGCTCTGTCGTTTTGTAGACCTTCCTGTGGTGGAGCTGGATTTTGTAAGCCTCCCTACTTTCATTTATTATCTCCTTGTGCAGAGATGAGGTTTCCAGGTAACCGTTTAAAAAATAAAACAAAACATCTATACACACACTCCCTCAATCGTCACGAGATGGGAGTCTTCCCCACGTGGATCTGTTTTGACAAATGTTAGTGCCAACTAGACCTCCTGGTGGAGAACGTGCTGGGGTCTGCCTGTCTGGAGGTTGGACTTGTGCGCGTCTCCTGGCCCTGCCCTGAGCGTGTGTCCGAGGGGCTGTGTGTGTGTGTGTTTGGGGGAAGGGGGCTTTGTTATTTCAGGCCTGGAGTCCTAAGGTGCTCTGGAAAGAGTTCGGGCATCGGGCGTGCAGCCGGAGGTGAGGTGGTGGACACCGAATTGCGGCCCCATCGGGAACCCTGGGTTCCCACTGTCGGAGAATGAACAGGCCCCCTGCCATCCCCTTCTTGCTGGCTGGGCTCACTGGAGCTCCGCGTGTTAGAGCAGAGCAGCAGCTTCAACGGCCTTGACGGAGGCTGACAGCCTGGCCCTGGTGACAGTGACACCAAGCTGTGCTCATCTGAGTCAGGAAGGCCCAGCGCCAGCCTCCAGGGGAGCGTGGTTTGCAGGCAGTGAGACGGATGAGTGGAATGGCCCACAAAGGGAGGTGCGGGATGGAGCGCTACACAGGTGAGTCCCAGCAACGGGATGTGATCACACGCCAGTGGCGGATGTTTGTGGTGTCTCTGTGTGCCGAAGCTTTGGGGGAAAACAACAAAACCAAAACCAAACCAAAACAATGCCTTTCCTACTCAGCGAGCAACACCATGAACACAGACCTTCACCCTACGGTGTTACGAAAACAATTTTTTCCCTCCATTGACGTTGCTTTACTCTCCCATATTCAAGAGGTGCAACAGGGAACTTGTCAAGCACATTTTAAGGTGACGCAGAGGGAGACTGAGCCCAGTGGGAGAATCAGGAGGTCTCCAGCCCAGCCAACAAAGGGGTGTGAGGTTAGCTGTCCACCTGACCTTTAACCTTTGAACCTGGTCTGCAGACATTCCATTAGACTGGCTCACATACCCCACAGGTGAAACCACAGTCACACATGGGCCATTCATAGGAGGTAGGCCATGCGCACCTGATCCGGGGTCCCCACAAGGAGACACTCGCTTTCGAATGGGGAGGTGTGAGACCCTCAGATGGACCCGCTTATCCCTTACAGCGCCCCCTACTGACGCGCGATGGGGCACCAGGGAGCCTTCGTAAGTGGGGTTGTGAGGGAGTCCCACCCTGCCAGACGTGGCAGTACTTTTAATGAAGTGCGTGTGGTCGGGATTCTCTGTAAGGAGGCTCTGGTCTGGGGCCCCATTTCCGCTGGAAACCTCCTTAGTAGGATTCTTGATGTCAAAACACAAATGTCGCCCAATGGGAGCCGACAAGAGACAGCATCTTTGCTACAGCCTCCCCCAACATTCAAAGTCACTCTCCGGCTCAAGAAAGAGCAGGCACCCTCTGTCCACTGGTGTGGGAAAGAAATGCAGACCATGCTGGGGCACGGCTCACGTGGGAGCAGCCTGGGTCTTTCGCACATGAAATTATTTCTCATTTCCAAACAGACTTGGGCCCTTGTAAATTTCTGAGTTCTGCTCTGACATACACACACACATTATAAGGATATATTCCTTTAATTTTTGGAACTGGAAAATTTCTTTAATTCGGTCTGTGCCTGTATAACACAAGATGGCCAACAATCCACGGCCCACCCAATCTCGCGCTCAGGCCCGTCTGTCGGCAGCCAGCTACATAAATGTGCACGTGGCTGTTAGGTAGCTTCTTCAAACAATTAAATGCAAAAAGATCATATTTATGTGTGTGTGTGTATATATATATATATGTATGTATATAAAACCATGGCATTCTTAATTCTGGCCCAAGATAATAAATCGCACGTCTGTTGCCACTCACCAAATACCTAGCAAATGCGGGACAAGTCATCTAAGGGTCTCCTTGCATGGGTCGAGGCTGTTCCCGGGGTGGATGGCGATGGGGTACCAGGTCACCAGAAAGGATATGCTCACTCGTGGAACTGCATTTCCAATATATGCATATCTATGTGCGTGTGTGTGTGTGTGTGTGTGGGTATGTATGCGTGTGTGTGTGAATTGCCAAAGTAGAAAACACCAGTTTATTCTGTTCATACTAAGCATGTTAAGTAAATCAGATTTTGTAACTGATAACACACTTTTTTTTAAAAAGGAACATTGAAGATCTTCAAAAATTGCTACAGTACAAAAAAAGTGTGTGTGTGTGTCTGTGTGTATTTATATATTTATATATATATATTAACCAGAAATAGAGACTCTATTGGAAGAGATTCCCACCCCAGTTTGCTGTGAGTTTCTACGCGCAGTTCGCTTGGCTTCAGCTGTGTCACCAAGTCTTTCGGTCAGTACATGGCACATAATGGTATTATTGGCACAGGTTCGGAATCGGAGTACACATCCCAGGGTCAGGCGCTCCCTTCGGTCCTGTCGCTTGGTCTCCTCTCCTCTCTGTCTCCAGGTCCGTTCTTGCATTTCTTGGTTCTGTTCTCCAAAGAAAACTCGGGAAAAGGCAGTTCCCCATAGGCGTGAGCATTTTTATAAAAATATATTTGGCCTATAGCGTCCTGCTCTGTCAGTTCCCCACCGGCAGACAGAAGGGGTAGGTGTGGGGACCCTCCCTCTTAGATAGTTTAGTTTTAGGTTTTGTGTTTTTATTGTTTTATTTTATTTTTTTACAGGTTCACCAACGGAATCCTGTGTGGAAAGAAAAGAAGAGATTAAATGGCAGCAGACCGAGGGCAGGCTGAGTCTAGGCAGCCTCTCTGAGCCTCTGTAATCAAGCCCCAGTCGCCCTGCTTCCCAGCCAATGGGCACCAAAGTGTCCTCAGAACACACAGATGTCTGCTGGACCTGGCCCCCAGGACCTGGTACACTCGCTAGGAGTCCCAGGGGTGTGAAGCGGGCCCAGGCCCTCATGTGTGTTACTATATTCAGTGGAGGAGCTGTTTCTGCTGTTGGCACCAGCAGTGGGGCGGGGCTTGCTAAGAGGGGCTGGGATCATCCCGCATTAACTCTCGAGGGGAGATTGCACCCCAAGCCTGCCCGTGACTGAGCGCACCCAGCACCACGCTCGCTCCTTCTCCAGCTCCTACCCACCAAGGGCAGAGGTGCCGCCTGCCCCATGCCTGGACGGCAGGAAGCAGTGCAGTCCATTTCAATCCACTGCTGGGCTGAGGGCTCACTGAGGCCGGGACTCGGGGAAGTTTAACAGATTTCATCAGAAAAACCACCTTCTGGATCTCCCCAAGAGGGGATCTTGCTGAAGAGAGAAAGAACGTGAATCACAGGTGCATGCAGGCCAGATCAGCTGGCTGCAAAGAAGGGGGCGGCTCTTACCCAGCCTGGGTGTGTGCCTCAGAAAGTGGGAACCCCAAAGTCTCCCTGCCTCAGTGATAGACCCCAAAAGTCCACATCCCCCAGGGAGTCAGAGAGCTACAGCCGTGCTGGGCGTGGCCAGGTGAGTCAGAAGGCATCATAGCGGAGCCTGGAGGCACTTGAGCTCGAAGCTGCATCTCCGTTCCAAGGATGGGCATTGCTTCTCTCTGCTGTCACTCAGAGCTCCCACCAGCACCCCACAATGACAGGAAATTAGGACCTTTAAACAGTGTAAAGGGGAATGCCACTGCACCCTCATCTAAGCAGCTGATACAAATTAGAAAGCAGATGGGGGACCCAATGATTCCAAAATGCAGTTGGGAAGAACTCAGCTGGAGCTCTGCATTTTCACAGCAGCTCCCAGACATGGCAGCCAGGCTGGCCCCATCCTAGTCATCTTCGGAGCAGTTCAGAAATACAGCTTCCTGGGCCAGGAAGAAGATTCTGGAGAACCAGAATCAGGGCCTCTGGGCGGGGCCCGTGAATATGGGTTTCTGCAAGCTCTCCAGGTGACTCGGATGACGTGCCAGGCCCGGGCCCATTACCCGTTCTTCTCAACAGACTAGGGTGTGGGGCTCTTTCTCCTGAATCAAATAAGCTGGCTGGGTGATCCTCGCCGGGACTGAGAGGCACCCAGGTGGAGGGGACACATTCTGCTCAGTGCTGTCTTCGTCATCTTCTCCAAGAGCCTCACCACATCTATGTCTATTCCTCCTGGAGCAGGGGTGGGCACGCTTGCTCCCTCTCTAGGACCCCTCCCGGTCTGGACAATGAAGTCAGGGCCCCTGGTCATCACCTTACCCTGCCTTCTACCTTCACATGACACCTGTTTGGGCAACTGCAGGAGGCCTACAACAGAGCATCTACTCGTCTCCTGTGGGATCACCTGCCCACTCTGCTGTGAGCAGGCGTGTCATCTCATCAGATGGGTGCTGGACCACCCAGGGTAGCTTTCCTCCAACTGTGCACCACCCACCTCCTCCACTTTCTAGAACTGGGGGAGGGAGTGGTGGTTAACAAAGCAAAATAATTAAAACAGAGAGAAACGCCCCTCTTGCATGTCTATCTCCATTCTAATTTTTTGAAAGTTAAAAAATGTGGAGACAAATGCTGTATGATCCCACTTCTATGAGGTCCCTAGAGGAGTCAAATTCATAGAGACTGAGAGTAGAATGGAGGTTGCCAGGGGCTGGGGAGGGGGATGGCGAGTCAGTGTTTAATGGGGACAGAGTTTCAGCTTGGGAAGATGCAAAAGTTCTGGAGATGGAGGGTGGTGATGGTTGCATAACAATGTAAATGTACTTAATGCCACTGTCCTGTACACTTAAAAATGGGTAAAACAGTAAACTTTATGTTATGTCTCTTTTCCTACAATTTTAAAAGTTAAAAAAATATATTAAAAAATATGGGGACACTGAAAGCTGGGCCTGGTAACCAACCACCCAGTTCTGGTGGCCGGGGACAGCCTCCGGTTTAAGCTGCCGTCCATTGTCCCAGCGTGATGACTGACAGCGCCCCTCCTCACTCTCAGATGCGTCCAGGGTTGGACCACGAGTCAGTGGCTTCCGGCCCTTACAAGGAAGGTTCTGCAGAACCGTCGCTGAGGCTGCTTTCCGATCCTTTATTCTGACCTTAACCAGACAGATCAAGGTGGGAGGCCAGCTTTCGCTCCTTCCCTCAGGCCAGGCGTCTCCCTCGGGTTTTCCATACAGACGTTAGCCCATCACTTTCCTACCTAAGAGTCTTCAGGGCTTTGGATCCTTTGGGACGCAGTCTCGCCTCTTGTTCCCCTCATCCCTCCTCTTCCTCTTCTTCTCCACATTCCAGGTGGCACCCTGGCCGCCAATGGAAATCTCAGACCTCAACTCCTTCAAGTTGCTGCTGACGGTCACCTCCCTGGGGAGGCCTTTGTGGACACCCCTCTTTTCCTAAATGTGTTCTCCATCCCGTTTCTGTCTATCAGAGCACTGCTTCTGTGGCTTCTCAGGTAGAGGACGAGCTGCAGTGATATTTATCTAAGCGAGTGCGTGTCAGTGCCAGCCAGGTGTCACGGGGTGTCTGCCAGGCCCACATTTGGTTCGCCTGGGTTCCGGCTCTGAGCCTGGCCCGGAGAGGGAAATCACTCCTGGATGAAGCTGAGAGAAGAGGCGTCTGTGCGGAAGCAGCCTCGTCCTCGGCCCCGGAGACTGAAGCCTGGGATGACCTGCACGTGCTGCCCGCAGGTGGACACTGAAGGGAGAGCCACCTCGGAGGGTCGACGGAGGGGCTCTGGGCCACCTCGGGACGGAGCCTCTTCCAAACCGATGGGCACCTGTCTCTGCCCAGTGTCTCAGGATGACGCAGAGCCAGGGAGCTGGCTCCAACCCTGCACCTCGCACTGCCATTGTAAGAGCAGTGCTGGCTTCCTGCAGAGGGGTGGGTTCCCTCCAGGGGCTCCGCAGGGGCAGCATCAGCCCCTCAGGCTGGGAGGAGGGGTCTGAGGCTGCCCACCAGCACCTTCAGGGCCTGCCCTACATTCCTGCCAAAACCCTGCTGCTTGCCCTCAGCCCATGGGGGAGTGCTCGTGTTTCTCTGTTTCAAAGGCTCAGCCCATGAGCCTCTCAGCGGAGCACTAACCCGAGGAGGGCTCGGAGAGGGACGTGCGTCCCAGGCCAGTTGGGAAAGATTTTTGACAAGGTGAGCCCTCGACGTCCTGGCTGGAGAAGGACACCAGCGAGGATGGCCCCGGCCAAAAGGGTAAGCTGTGTGCTGCAAAGGGATCCGAGAGATCGGGATCTGGGATAAATCCTGACTTTGGAGAAACTAGTGCCCTCTGCTGCCTGGAAGGAAATTCTCAGCTCTCCTGGCCCCTGAGGGCTGCAAACCACACAGTCAGTCGTGGGCTTAACGATCAGCGTCTGCTTTTGCAAAACAAAGAGAACAGGCAGACTACAGCAAGAGCCCCCTGGAGCGCTGAAGCTGCTAGTTAATTTCTCCACATCCCGAAAGGGCCACTGTCCCCCAAAGTTTTCCTTGGTGCTGGTTCTCGTCTTAGAGAGAATGGTTTCCAGAAGGGTCTGGATGTTTCTTTGAAAAAAGTGTTCCTTTGAATTTCAAAAGCTGGATGTTCTGTTAATGTATTTTTTAGAACAAAGCGGGAAGGCTCAGGTGTGGTTCTTGTTTTTTATTAGTTATGTCTTCAGTGTGTTTTTGCAAATAATAATAACACATGATTTATTTCTCTCTTGCTTCAGATGCGAGAGCTTTTATTACTTTTCAGGCTCCCTTCGGAATGAAGTGGCCTTGGCAAATGGGAAGATCTGAACACTAATGAGGTTTTCTGAAGTTTTGTTACATGAAAAATGACAGGAAATTAGCTGAAGAGCCATGGCAGGCGTGTGTCCGAGGTTTCTTTCCCTGGCACACCAGGGGAAGGCCAGCTTCATTTGTCTCACTCAGACGAATCGAGCCCCTCCACAGAGGTCTCAAGGAGGCAAGAATTTGCTGGAATCTATCACAGAGGCTGAATCTAGAGAACCAGAGTAACTGTCTGCCCAGGCTGGGGCGCCTGTGCCCCCCAAGCTCGGGCATCACCCACACTCGCGTGCAGGGAAGCGAACTTGGCCACGGTTGGGCCCCAAATGCGCATCGGGATGGCATGAGCAGACAAGGCGGTGTCATCACAAACTGCTCTCTCATCATTAAAAATGCATCTGGAGAGGCTTAACAGCTACGCACAAGATAAATCTCTCTGCTGGCTCTTAAACCTTAATTAAATGTTTCGGTATTAATTGCTATTTATTTAAGGGACAATAAGTACCTAGTAAATCTGAGTGATCTTCTGGGCCTTTCTCCACCCAATGCTCATGTCCAGGCATTAACTGCAAAAATCAGGGATTCTTAGAATCCGAATGCCTTCCTCCCAGTGAGTGATAAACAGTCTGTCGGACATGCAGTGCCGGAATCTTGAGGCATTTTTCAAGGACTAACAAGGCTGTTTGCACAGCCCTCCTGGTCTGTAGGAACAAGAGATGGCTGGAGTGAGTCATTGCTTTGTGTCCACAGGCATGGTGGCTGAGCACAGCCAGGCCCGGAGTAAGTCCTGTCGGCTCTTCTCACCACCTCAAATGGCCTACCTGAGACCCACAGCGAAGGGCTGAAGTTCTTGGGACACAGAGGTGTCTCCTTCTCTAAATGGAGGTGGTCCTGAAATAGCTCCTCGGTGCAGTTAGGAAGTGGGGTCTGTACACTTTGAGAAGAATGTGGCCCACCCAGGGCCCATCTAGGGGCACCCACATGGCGCCAACACTGTTTGTGGGGGGCCTTCGGTGCCCCGTGTTGCCAGGAGAGAACTCGACTAATGAGATGGGAAAGTTTTCTGGAGGAGAGGAGTAATAATAGCACTTTTTTCCCACTTGGATTTTTTTTTTTAAGTCAGGGCTGCAGCTCCCTGTTCCCAGGTGGATGAAAAGGCCCTCGGCCCAGGCTTTAGGGAGCTCAGGAGCTGACCACTCAGCTGCACAGCTCCTTGCTCAGCAGAATCAGGCTGAATGTCCCTGGGACACCAATTTAGTTGGAGAGATCGACTTCATCTCCCACCACCCAACTCTCTTCCCACTTGGGGCTGGGCTGGCGGTAGAACGGGGTACAGAGGCGTTGCACCGGGGCTCGCAATGGAGGCTCTCTGACGGGTGGGCAGAGCCAGGCAGCCTGGGGTGATCCGGCCCCACCACTCACAACCTGACTGACCTCAGGCAAGTCACTTCACTTCCCCATGCCTCAGTTTCCCCCTCTGTAAGATGGGATTGCTGGGAGAACTGTATGAGTTCCTAAATGTAGACAGTGCTCCAATGAGCTGCCATCTGAACGTCCACATTAGGGAACTGTCCCCCCTAGCGGGGGCTCTCTGGACCAGAAGGTGTGGCTGCCTCCAGGCCCGCGGGCCTGCAGCTCCTGAAGGAAGGGAGCGGAGGTCTTTGATGGCAGGGCCAGCATCAACCAGGTCAACGTCTTACGCTTTTACGCATGTTTAAAATCCTAACAAAGATGTTGGCAACCACCTAGCCCGGCCCTGCAGAGGCCTTGCCAGGCAGGCGGGGACTCGGCTGCTAATAAGCAAGCTCCCCACTGCTAGCCTGGTTGGAACTCGGAAGGGAGCTCTGTCCGTGGCCTTAATGAGGCGAGTCACATCGAGGCAGACAAAGGCACACGCTTTTGATGGATGGGCCACGCTCAGCGCATCTGGCCCTTGCACGGTCGGGGACAGACTGCGTCTCACCTGCCTGGCCCGCACAGTCTCAGCAAAGGCCTTTGGGTGGGGGGCTTGGTTTCCATCCTAATCTAATCACTTCTCTTTGTTCGTTGGCTGAACATCATGCTAAGCAAGTCATTTTGGCTTCAGGATAGGCAGTGAGGGCTGGGATCAGGAACTGACCACTTCATTCCTACTTCTAGAAGCAGCTGGCTCCTCCAGCCCCCAGCTCAACGCTGCGAGCTGAGTCCTCAGAGGGCCCTGTGCAGCCCCGAGAAAACACCTTCCCACCTGGCCCTTCACTCACTCTGACGACAGCATTTTCCATTCAGTCCCCACACCAGAAGGCGAGCAAAAGTAAGAAAAAATATTTTCAAATATCAATACGCCAACCTAGAAATTGGGTTCCCGTCTCATGGAAGGGATCTGATGTCACGTTTAAAAGGAATATCTGGGGGAAAAAAAGATGCTCTCTGGATGAGCAAAATGTGTATCCTTAGAAAACTTAGCATTGAAAAGAAAAACAAAGACACAACCCTGGGTGGCATCTACTGACTGTGCACAGAATGTGCAGCCACGGGGGCGAAATGCTCCCCACAGCAGCCGGGCGTTCGGAGAAGAAAGCAATTTAACGTAGGCATTAAAGTTAATATCATTGAAAGCAAACCAAATGTTCCTATCCAGCAGAGCGTGGAAAATTCATCCTGTCTCGGTACCAGGCCTGGGCTCCAAATTAGTGGATGTCTCAAGTCCTCACTTCCTTTCTTTATCATTTTCCTTCTTATCTCTTATTTTTATGTTTCAAAATTGTATTTTAATTCCGCCTGGTGCCCTCCCTGCCGTGTGAAGACTTGCGGTGGTGGGGTGGGGCCTGCCCACTTAGCCGCTGCCCCGTCTCTCCCGGTTGAGGGAAATGAGAGCTGTGGTTGTAGAGGAACTGCTTCTCCCTGCCCCACAGGCCATGCCTGGCCTTCCCTGGGCTGGGCCGGCACTGACAGAGCCAGCGCGGTGCTGAGTCGGGTTTGTGGGTATCTGTTACTCCCCTCCCTGGGCCGTGGGGCATTTCTAACATGTGCAGCGGAGAGACCACAAGCCCAGCCCTCTGGACGGGGAAACGCCATTGGAATCCCACCCACGGTGAGAAGGGCTTCCAGTTATCCCTGAGTGGAGACGGGTGGGGAAGGTGGGGAAGGTGAGGCAGAGGGAAAAATCAATCGTGTCCAAAAAGAGAGGTACGTACCATAAAATAGACACATGGCGTCTGCCCTGCCCCAGGAGGTAAAAAAGACTTCGGCCAGTCAGCAGGAGATCTCAAACCATTTCTCAGACACAAAGGCCACAGGAATAAGATGCCGATCAGAAGAAGAGGGTCTGCAGCAAGCAGAGAAACGTGCTTGCCCGCGCTGGTACACAACACCGACAGGCAGGCCCGGTTGGGCCTGCCGCAGAAAACTTGCTTCTGGGTAGAAAAGGGCCCAGGAAGATGATGCTCTGCTGGACCCACTGGCCTGTGGCAGGAAGGGACCCACCACCCCCGGTGGCCCGCCAATGCTCCCTTCCACCGTGGGCAGCCTTGGAGGACACGGCCCGAGGGATCCGTGCACAGGAGGAACCCGACACAGAGGCCGGAAGGCTGGCGTTCCAGCACAGTGGTGCGATCTCCAGATTTCAGTTTTTGAATTTGTGGGACAAACACACAGCTCTGTGTCTCTGCCTGAGAGCGCAGGGATTCCACCCATGTTACCACACTTTGTAGAGGGCAGGGCCTGACTCCTAAAATGGCCCCCCCGTGTTTTGTCACTTTTGAGACTCAGCTACCGTTTCCCAAGGCCAGTGAGAGCCAACAGGGCATCACCTTCCGCCAAAAAGCAAGAACCTGTTCCATCCGACGCTTCTGAGCCAGGACGTGGGAGCGCCAACTGTGCCCACCCTGCACGTGGACAGGGCTCTCACACGACGCAGGGGCAGAGAGTGGGACAGAGAGGACAATGACCACTCCAGAACTCGCCTCCTTCCCTTCCCCCAAAGGCTGAGGCACTGGTCAGGCAGGATTCACACCCAAACCGACACACACATTCAGTGAAACGGTTTGAAAATCCTTTTGCCAATTTGTTGCGAACTCGGCCTTCTGGAAGGCTGGGATGCAACCAAGGAGCTCCCCAAATGTCGCTGAGTGAAAGTAAAGTAGTTTAGAAAGACATTTCTGAGGTTTCTGCTCTCCAGGCTCCTCCTCTGGGAAGGAGGCCTCCCAGACAGAGAATATGGCAGAGTCCCACGTGGAGACAGGAGAGGAGTGGCGAGAAGGAATTTAAGGAGCACCCAATCTTCTCAGGGGCAGGACGGGACACATACAGTATGGGCACTACAGCTGGACAGGCAGCCCTCGCTCCCAGGGCCCCTGCCTCCCCCTGATGAGCAAGCAACACAGGAGCGAGCGAGCAGCCACCCCTGAGTCTCCTGGACCTTGGCTCCGGGCGGAACCCCTCAGGGCACCTTGGGTAGTGTCCTCCGCTGCTCATCCTGCTGCCCACAGTGGGCCCTTCAAGGCAGCCTGGTGTCCTACTCACTTTGTCCTAAGATTTTTAAGTCGTTGGAGAATTTTTTTTTTTTATTTACAAAATGATGCATGAATGCATGCTCACTTAAAAAAATAGCTTACTGATGTTTTAATCTAATTCTAGATAAACCTTCAGAAGCTGACCCAAGGGTTTCTTAAATATTCCCAGGGATGGTCTTTGGAGCATGTCTTCTTTGAGAGACTACACGCGATTAATAAAAAAGAGCATTCAATAACCAGGAGTCTGGTTGGTATTTGATATTTTTGCTAGATTTGCTGCTGACATTTTATTGATGGGGTTCAGAGATACTGACTGGGGAGTGATCAATCATGGTTTGTTGATATTTAGGAGGCCTGTACTACAGAGCTGGCTTTGCAGGATGACGCCCGCCCTCGCCAGGTGGTACTGAGGGCTGGGGAGGCGTTTCCGTCCACTATCCAAGTGAACCCTGGCTGCTGCTGCCTTTTCTCTCTGCGTGGAGAAACACCTGTTTATGTCTACCCTGGCCCTCTTGTTTCGCCAAACCGGCTGCCTGCACTTGCTCGGGCCCTCAAGAGATGTAAAGGGTGCTTCACATGGATCAACAGCCCCCGTGACAATGCCGTGCCACCAGCAGTTTGCAGCGGCAGGGTCTGGCCCGAACCCAAGCTTACCGGTTCCCGTTAAACGTGGATTTGTACTCCCCCGTTGGGTGCAGCGTCTCGTCGGTGTACACGGGCACGGACGCCCGGACACACTCGTGCGAACACTGCAGGGTCTCGTTATAGGCTGTGAAGATGTCCAGGCTGCTGGGCACCCGGGCGGGGGTGAAGTCCGTCAGGTTCTGGCAGCTCTCCTCCTGCTGGTTGATTTTCCGCTGGTGGCTGTTCCTACGCGTGTTCCCGCTTTGGGCACAGCTGGAAGACAGACAGGTGGGGTGGGGTGGGGGCAGGTAGATGCCGAAACCCGCAAACACAACTCCGGTGCTAAACTGCGGAGCCTTCTTCTCCAGGCATTAATTATACATCATTTAATATTAAATGGTAATCCCCAGCCTCTTCAGAAAGATCAACCACAATCAAGCAATCAGCTTTTTTTTTTTAATAAAATTTGAATTTTAAATGTGGCCATTACTGCAGAGAGGATTATGAGGTAAGCGGTTGAGCTGTGTTACCCCAGGGCTGAGGCCTTGTCTGGCCGAAGAACATCAGCCGGACAGTGGTGCTGACTCGGTTTCCTCAGGAACGCCTTGACGGGATGAAGACTGATGGGTGCCGGTAGGGAAGCGTTGCTGCATAGGCTGGGGTGGCCCGATTGTTCACTTTGGAACAGACTCTGTAATTATCTTTGGGGAGAGCTGGCATCCTCAGCCCCTCCCCCGCCCATGCCCACAAGTTGGAAATGAGACTGGACTGTCCATCCTTCACCATCCTGCGTGCCCAAGGACACCGGCCTTCATGCCCACTCCTCTGGACCTCGGAGGCTTCCAGATGCCACCTAGGATGGACAGGGGAATCCCACCTTTGTCGGCCAAGGGATTTGACAGAACAGACAATCAATGACCCTCCCTGTCCCCGGATGTCACTTCTGGCAAGTTCATAGGATGGGCAGGAATCCCATCCCCACGGAGGGGGACAGCTAGGAGGAAATTTGGGGAGGCTTCACTTTGGGGAGCCTCATCAGGGCAGCAGTTCTTCTCCTCTCCCTCCCTTCTGTGCTCAGAGCCTATGCGGAATGAGGGGGCTGCAAGGGGCGGGGCTCATGACCCTGCCTCCCTGTAAGTCATGGATATGCCCTGCCTTGTCTTCCCAGCGAGAGGAATCCTGATTCCTGAGGGTGAGATGAATGAAAAAGTCAGGGGGTCCCCAAGGTCACAGAACCCACTCATCTACCCGCTGGGTTTCTCCTTGGGGTAGGGGGCCTTTCCTTGATCAAGATGCTGGATGGGATTGTCCCGCCATGCGTCCACGCAGTCCAGGGCTCCAGAGCACTTCTCCAGCTGGCCAGCTCCTGTCCAAGACGCCCCTCTGTGAGCTGAGTCTTGTCCTCGTCATCTGCCCAGGAAAACGCCCTGGGTCTCGGGCTAGCTGGCCAGTAGGAGGCGGCTCCGAGGCCTCGCTGGTTCAGTGGGAGGTCTGTTGTGGGGTTGTGCCACCCCTCACCCCTCAGCCCCGTCTGATTTCCTATCCCACCTGCGGGCAGCGGGGGATCATTGGGTCCACTTCTCTACGAGGGAGCTCCAGCTTTGATGCTAAAAGGAGCCACGTCTGCTGGAGGGGTGGCTGCAGGCAGACGGCGCCTCCGAGGCATGTGAGCAGCAGGGTCACCCCGCAGCTCCCCGATCTTCCCAGGGTGTAGCAGGCATGTACACCCAGCAAGGCCAACCTCAAAGTAGGCCAATTTTCAGGAGGAAATAGGTAAAGACAGGCCGCCTGGAGCAAAGCAGTAACCTAGTTCAGCAGACACAGAGCGGCTGCGAGAGGCAGGAAGGATACAAAGAGGCTGGCCGGGCACCGGCCGCAGGGACAGCCCAGGACAGCGAGGGGCAGGCGCGGACCAGCCCAGGTGGCTGGTAGGAAATACAGAAAAAGGGTCGTGTGCTGGGTGGGCGAGGTCCAAAGTTACGCTTGGATCCAGAGAAAGGCTTCGGAAACAGGAACCTGCTGCCTGAGAAACTAAGTCAGGAAGGCTCGGCTCACTGGCATTCTGCAGAGAAAGCCCGGGAGGGGGCTACACCCCAGGGTGGTGTCAGGGAGCCCGGCGGCGCCCAGCAGTCAAGCTGCCCTGGGGCCAAGGTGAGTGGGCTGTGCCAGGGCAGAAGGGACTGCACTGGATTCTCTGGCCCAAACGGAAAAACCATTCCTTGGGTTGTGACCGGCCGGGTTCAATCTTTCTGTGCACACTTCCCCAAGGACCCCCACAGCACCGCCTCCTCCAGGCCAGAGGAGCTGAGGATCCTTACCAGTTTTTTAAGACAAGAGTTGTAATCAGGGCAGCTATGACCATGATGAGGGAGACGGTGATGGTGATAATCTGATGGACAGCCAAACCTGGGAACAGAGAATGAGAGAGAGGGGAGCTGTGAAACCAGGGCTGCAAGACAAAGGAGCCCAGGAACGGGGGTGGGGATGACACGGGGAGACGGACTGACGGGGTGGGCCACATGTTCCTGTCAACCTGGCTATGAACACGCAGGTCCCGTCTACAGGCAGTCTACAGCCTCCCCAGGGAAGGGGCCGTGCAGGAGGGCTGCGTGGGGACAGGACAGGCTCTTGGGTCTCTCCTGCCCCACATCAGGTGCTGGCAGGTGCTGTTGGGCACCAGGGCCGCTCTTACCTGGAGTCTCAGAAGGGAGGCCCCAGCCCAGCCTCTCAGTCCCCGAGCAGTGACCCAACCATGGGAGGCTGTGTCCTTTCTTGCACGAGCCCCTCACCTGGGACAGGTAAGCTCTGGCTGAGGCATTCCCCCAGGGCCTGTCACCCTCCCTTCTCCCTCCCACCTTGGGTAAGTCTGCTCCTCGATTCTAAGCACCAGGGCAGCTGGCCTGTGAGTGGGAGCAGGGTTTGGCCTGACCCAGATGAAGCCAGGCTGGCCCAGGACTTTGGGAAGGTGGGGAAGAGGGACACATGGGTTGACACTCTTGCAGACTCAGGCATGTGGATCATTAGGAAACATCTTCTCTTTCCAAGTTCTCTCCAAGAAGTTCATTGCCTGATGAGGTTCCAGGGAATAAAAGCTCCAGACCAGTGGCTGATGCTTCCAAAAGTCCCAGAGGAGGGTCTGTGGTCTCGCCTCACTGCCCTGTCCTTCTCTGTGTGTGCACGTTGCGGGGGGGGGGGCAGAAACAGAAGGGAACAGGGACAGAGGGACCAGCCACTCTAGAAACAGGGCAGCCAGAGCCCCAAATCAGCTGCCTGCTAACCCCACACATGGGCAGCCAAGCACAGGAATTCTCTCCCACACTCTCCCTCCGCCCCCAGCCCCCTGCACCATCTCGCACCAACTACAGAGGCACAGGGAGGGAGGAAAGGCAGGCTGGCAACAGCTCTCATCTCTGGTCCCCCAAACACAGCTATGTTCCTTCTGGCGACACATCTGTTACATCGTTCCCAGAACATGGACACTAGGGCACCTTTTGGCTGGCGCCACCGGTCAGAGAGGACCACTTGTTAGGTCCCGGGATCCCGCCTCGTCTTCCTGCTGTCAGCAAGAATCAAACCTGAGGAGCCAGGTGATAGAGGCCCTGAGGGGCCGTGCAGAGAGCCCTGCAGGTGGCAGCTCCCTGCCCCACAGAAGCGCTGATTCCCCGTGTCTGAGCACCTGCCTCTCTCCACTCCTAGCTCCCCATCCTGATGTCCACTTACAGAGACCCACCTAACACACCTGAGGACCCCAGGGGTCCTGGGGTGAGAACATGTGTACACGTGTCCCAGCGGGAGGACTTCATTTAGTCTAAGATTTTTCTGGTGGCCTCCCAAGGACACAGTCTCCCAAACAGATGTTACCTCTCTACTGACTGTGTTCTTCGTGGGGGGAATTGCTAATAAATGATTCAAACTTGGTGTGACCAGAAAGTAAGCTTTCTCTTCCTGTTTGCCCCTCTTCCGGGCTGCTTCTGTTTGTCGTGAGGGATTCTCACCCTGAGCCCACAGGATAAGCACCACTAGGAAACTGGGGCACATGCATGGAGGCCACAGGCCTCCCTTCATTCATTCTTTTACCCATTGATTCAAGAACCACTTATCGAGCACCTGCTGAGTGCCAGGCAGGGCCAGTTTTGACCAGCTCAGCCGTGGTGCCACCCTGAGGGAAGAGCTGCTCTGCCGCCATTTTTTACAGTGGCAGCCCTCATCGCTGGTTCTAGCCAGTGGCTTCCCATACACCTGTGACCAATTCATGGCATCTGCAGTAAACCTCTGGGCCAGCTTTCCTTCTCCGCTAGGATTGCCAAATTGGCTTGCCAATGAAGTTGGAAGCTAGCTATACCACTGGGACCACCCTCAACCTCACCAACAATGGAGTGCCCACCAGGCTCAGTAAGCCCTATTTATTCACCAGCTTCCCTGAGATCCAACTCAGACTCTGTTGACAGAGGGAGGTTGAAAAGGGTGTCCAGTTTAATGAGCAACTATGGAGGATAGCTGCTCAGACTCCCCTCACCCTCCATCCACACACTCCACTAACCCAGTCAAGAGACAGCCATGCTGTCATGAAGAGTGTGTGCTCATCCTGTGTCTGTGCTTCCTGTGAGGAGAAGGAGTCCAGTGATGCCGGTGATGGTGATGATGGTGATGATGGTGGTGGTGAAGATGGTCGAGGTGATGATGGTGATAATGGTGATCATGATGATGGTGATGATGGTGGTGGTGGTGATGATGATGAAAGTGATACTATAAGTGGTGATGATGATGGTGGTGGTGGTGGTGACAATGATGACAGTGATGCCATAAGTGGTGGTGATGATGATGCTGGTGGTGGTGATAATGATAGTGGAGATGGTGATGATGGTGATGATGACGGTGATGATGATGATGATGACGATGATAGTGATGAAGATAATCATGCTCAAAAAGTGGCAGCAATCGTCAGGTGTATATTATCGCATTTATTCCTGGCAAGAACTCTCAAAAGTAGATACTGTTGTCATCATTTATGGAAGTGAAAACTATCTGGGCAAGTTTGTGTAAAACCCTTGGATCAACAGGATCTGCCGGCTCCAAAGCCCATACTGAGAGAGGCAGTATTACGGGATTCTGAGCTCAGACTCTGTTCATCTCAGTTTTGGCTTTGACCTGACAGCCTCACTTCTTCTGAGGCAGAGGTGGGCCCCTCTCCCCTCTACATCCTGGGAGAACAGGCTTCTAAATCACGGAGGCAGGTGCTTGAGCCTCACCACCTCCTCACAGACAGACCCCTTGGGGAGTGCTCTGGGCCCATGCCCAAAGCCTCTCAGCCATTTCTTGGCAGGTCACACCCTCATCTCCACGGCAAGAACTATACCTTTGTTTCTTGTGCTGAATCTGCCATCTTCTAGGTCAGGAGAACTCAACGCCTGTGGAGGTGGGGAATGTAAAAGAGCACAGCGAGTGGGTGTGAGCCAACAGGAGCAGTGGGGACCTGTTCAACTGCGAGGCCAGGCCCTGCTAGAGGCACTGGGCATCCCCTAACAAGAGCAGAACATCTCGTTCATTCCCCAACGTCTGCAGGCCCAGAGGAGGCCCAAGGTACTGCCAGGTTTTGACCTTTCGTCTTCTTACCAAGGGAATTCTTCTGTTGGGCTGAATATCTGCAGTGGCCAAAGTCCTTGGAAGCGAAGAGTCCATGACCAGCTGTATCTTAGATGGTTAATTCCCTCCCACTCCCCCTGTGGGGGAGGACAGGAAAGCACTGACTCTCTTCTTCTAATGGATGGAAGAAACTGAGGCCCAGAGGGGAAAACAGTGGCTCAAGGGACCCCCTCACTGACAACTGGGAGAACAGAAGCCCAGACCTTTGCCTGAGGTCCTGATGAGTCTCTGAGCCCCTTAAGGAAAGGCAATTCTTCATCATCTTTATAATCATACCTCCCTCCCATACATTGTGTGACACAATACCTTACAACAGTAGCTATGTGACGTATTATTGAACCAAGGCATGAAGAGTGGAGAATAAAAGCCAGGGAACAGGCAGAAAGAACAACAGAATTCTAATGTTTGCCTTGTGCTGGAGGCCCTTCTCCTGCCTTCCGTGTGAAATTTCTCCACAGGACTTGCCAAATCAAAAATTGGAGGAAATGGTACATGGGTTCATAACCTAAGATCATCTGGGCAGAAATACAACAATAATATAATGGCTATGCTTTCTGGAAAGACTTCTCTACACCAGGCCCTGTGCTAAGTCTTCACACATGTGCTCAATTTAATCCATCACCTATCCTGCATTTTTGCACCTGCCTGACCAATGAGGAGCCTGATACTCAAAGGAGCAAAATGACTTTCCTGTGGTCATTCGGCAGAGCCAGGAGGAAAGGCAGTTCTCTGCTCTGGAGTTCCAGTGAAAACCAAATGTCTAGGTCCGGATCTAATGCATCTGGAGCCACTTCCTGGTAATGAAATTGGTTAGAGGTAACATCTTACTACTCCTCACACACTTGACTTGCCAAGCAACCAGCCTTGTGCTGCATCCCCCTGCCCATGGGTTTGGATGGGCCACTGGGCTCATGCATCAGGAGTCAATGGCTACAAGAAGACCCCACAGACCCCATGCTTTTGACACGTGGTAGGAATGATATTTGTAGGAAGCAGGTTGGAAGATGGAAAGTCCATAAGGATGCTGCACCATTTCCTCCCCTTGAGGGGCCGGCTACTAAGAAGAGAGCAGAACAATACATCAGAAGTGTAGCGTTTCAAGCATCTGTCCATCATATAGTCCTCCACGAGTGCCAGGAGTCATTTCCTCGTCCGTGTAAGCCCCTCTTTGTGTGGATCCTGGGTAGGAAACCTTGCCCTTAAGGGCCATAGAGTAAATATTTTAGGTTTTGCAGGCAGTATGGTCTCTGTTGCAATTTCTCAACCCTGCCATTATAGCGCAAGAGCAGCCACAGACAGTATGCAAACAAATGGTGTGTTCTAATAAAACTTTATTTATAAAAACAGACAGTGGTCAGATTTTGGTCACAGGCTAGAGGTTGCTGACCCCTGATTTAGGTGAATTATTGAAGGTGACTTGGCGTATAAATGAAATAGAAGTTTACATCTATTTTGAATGGTTGGTTAAAGCCGGGACTCAGACTGCAATCCTTTGGTTCTGAAGACTAGAACCTTCACACTCCATCATCAAAGGTCTACTGTCTTTTGAGATTTTCACTGGTCACTGACAAGGTGATTTCAAAGACAGCCACAGCTTCTATCTTATCAAGTTGGGCCAGGAAACCCAGCAGCGGGCTCGGTTTGTGCATGTGAAGTTGGCTTGAGGATGGATCACTTTGTGTGACGGTTCCCCTTGAGAACTCAATTAGACAGGAGTCTTGAGTTTTGGAAACTGAATCTCAGGGAGAATTTTACCAATTTAA